GTTAGTTCACCATTGGCTTGCCTAGTGGCGACGTGGGCGCCATCACGGCCTATCGGGGAAATCGGGTCGTGACATTAATATTCATATTGTATAGGTTCTTATGTCTAGTAGGTGTTTTGACTATACCTCGTCACTATTCCACTGAGGTTAGTCTTGATACTTATTGGGTATCGCTGTGGTGTACTCATGTTACGCTTCTGCCCATCTTTTGTGCAGATCTAGCTACCTCTGAGTGTGCTGGTCGTTAGCTAGATGTTGGAGTTTAACAACGGAGACTTCAAGGTACACCTACCACTACGCTCTCATGTCTAGGAGCCACCTTCTGGAGTTTTACATTGTTACTGTTTACTTCTATTCCAAACAATGATGTATTTGATATTCTTAGTTACTCTTAGAACAACTTATGACTTCATACTACTAGTTTTGGGATGTTGTATAGCTATTTTCGGTTATGTTTGGGAATTTCCAGTTCATGTTAAATGTTATTTAGTTTAAATCTGTTAATAACTCATTATGTGTTAGGCTTACCTAGTTCAAGGGACTAGGTGCCATCATGGCTTCGAATGAGGGATTTTGGGTTGTGACAAGTTGGTATCAGAGCTTTAGGCTCATAGGTGCTACGAGTTAGAAGCAAGTTTATTAGAGTCTTTCGGACCGGCACAGAGACGTCTGTTATCTTCGAGTGGCTACAGAACTATTAGGAAACTTCGCTTCTTTCATTCCTATCGTGCTGATTTATTGATTTCAAAGTTTGAGCCTTTGTCATTCTATTCTCTTGCAGATGGTGAGGACACGAGTTGTAGTTACTGCTGACGCTGCCCCTAGAGTCGGTGTTGCTAGGGGCCGGGCCAAAGGTAGAGGCAGAGGCTGGGGAGGAGCACGTGTTACAGCTAAATCACCTGCCAGAGTAGCAACTGAGGAGCCACCAGTACCTCCGGTTGGGGGACAAGTACCGGAGGTGCCTGTTATTACCCCTGGACTTCAGGAGACTTTAGCATAGTTCGTGAGCAAGTGTTTTACATTGGCTCAGGCGGGATTGATTCCAGATGCACCAACTACTTCACAGACTAGGGAGGAGCTCAGACTCTCACCACCCGTACTCCAGAGCAGCGGGTCCATATTGACCAGGTTCCGGGTGTTATGCTAACATAGCCTATTATTCCTATTCAACTTGAGGTCAGGCCAGAGGCATCTGAGGAGGAGCAACTGTGACTTGAGAGGTTCAAGAAGTATCACCCTCCTACTTACAGTGGCACAACTACCAAGGATGTGCAGGGATTTCTAGAGAAATGCCACCGTATTCTCCACACCATTGGTATCGTGGGGTGAGTGGAGTTGCCTCTACTACATTTCATCTATCGTAGGTAGCATATAGGTGCTGGCAGGCTTATGAGGAAGGTAGGCCAGCTGATACAGCGCCACTCGCTTAGACTCAGCTTTTAGAGATGATTTTAAGGGAGTTTGTTCCCAGGCCCTCTGAGATGCGTGGTGCATAGAGTTCGAGCAGCTGCGTCAAGGCACTATGATAGTGTCAGAGTATGCCATCAAGTTCAGTGAGTTGTCCCGTCACTCACCTGCCTTGGTTTCTACAGTTAGAGAGCGAGTATGCAGATTCATCGAGGGGCTCAGTTACTGTATCAGATTCAGCATGGCTCAGGAGTTGGAGACAAATACTCCATTTCAGCAGGTTGTAGAGATCGCTCGGAGAATGGAGGGTATGCAGGGCTGAGAGAGGAAGGATAAAGAGGCTAAGAGGCTTGTGGACTGGGAGGATCTACTGATCCCTATTTTGGAGGCAAGGTGCGACATGGTAGAAGTTTAGTGGGTCAGCCAATTTAGTTTGCACAGGCTTCACATGGTGCTTCGGATTTCCATGGGTACTGGAGTATCCGTATCGGACAACTTCTATAGCTGCGTCAGTGGAGAGGCTGCTTTGGGTGTGGGGATACCAAACACATGATGAGAGATTGTCCCAGACTCCAGACAGAAGTCCACAATAAAGTATTTAGGCTATGGGTCCCGCTCTAGTTGTTGTTATACCTACACCGCCAGCTAGGGGTGGAGATCAGGTGGGTGGAGATCAGGTGGGTAGAGGTCATTTTAGAGGGGGAGGCCAGGCCCATTGTTATTCTTTTCTGGTTGGACTTGTTGCACCAGATAAAATCATTACATGTATGGTTTTGGCTGGTTATAGAGATGCATTAGTGTTATTTCGGCCTGTCCCATTTATTTGTAAGATCCATCCTACCTTGCTTCAAATATGGTTGTGTTTTATGATTCTTGTACTCTGCCAATGTATTCACGCCAGTTGGGGGGATTCTATTGTGATAGCCCATGTCTATCATTTTGATTGGTCGCTATTGTAGGGTCATGAGGCTTGGGTAGACTTTCTGTTAGTTAAATACGGTAGGTTTTGATGTGATTTCTGGATGGTTTGGTCCGACTTGAGGTTTGGGTGCTCTACAGGTGTGGGAAGTCTGTTATGCGTTGTGATTTTGGTTCTACGGGATGGAGTTAGTAGAGTGTATTAGTTGTTGAGATGTTTATCTTACTTGTGATTCCGAGTGGAGGATGGGGGACCTGGTGTTCTTTGTGGATAGGTGTGTTTGTATCGGGCTATATGCCACGGTGAGGTATTATTAGGGTATGATTCATTGTGGTTGTTGTGTGTATCTTGTTTCTTCCTTGTTGATTGGATCCGTAGTGTGGTATCGATGGGGAGTTGTACATATTGGACTTGTTTGATAGTTTTCTCATATCATTCTTCCATGTTCAGTCATATTCGGGTTGTGCTTGTTGGGGATTGGATCGTGATGTATGTGCCCAAGTGGAGTTTGATATGGCTTGTTGATCGGGTGAGTGGTTATGAGTTTCATATGTTGTTGCATCATTGTCAGTGTTGGGAAGGTTTGGAACAAGGTTCCAGTCGATATGAGACTATTTACTGGTACCAAGTTTGGTAATGGGCTACTATTGTGGTCAGAGTTATTGCTATGGGCATATGGTGATTTGTTGCGTCGTGTAGTCATACCTTGCGGATGTATGCATAAGCTGTTGCAGCTAGTTAAGGATTTTACAGTGTGTTTGTGTGATAATAAGGCCCTTGGTGGATGTGAAATTTGGGTTCTAAGGCTTATCAGCATGAGAGAAAGGAATAATCTTCGGTTGAGATGATGTCATTGGGTTATGTGGATTGGTGATACAAACAACAAACCAAAACACGAATATAGCAAAATATAATGAATTAAAAATAAGAGCTAGACCTATAATTGATTGGAAGAACAAGAACCAATTAGGATATGAAGCCTAATTACCTCTATAGACTCAATCAGTTATAACCCTAAGCTATGAAATTAAGAGTTAGACCTACAATTTATTGGAAGAACAAGAACCAATTAAGATATGAAGCCTGATTTACCTGTATGAACTCAATCAATTGTAACCCTAAGCTATGAAAATCCTCAAGAGATTGGCAACTCTTGAAAACCCGGATAAGGTAATTAAGAAATTAAGAATTCACTACTAATTGCTCACCAATTAAGACTAATTTAACACTAATGAAAGTATAAATAAAGCAATAAAGGAATTAAAGGCATAAACATATATTCATTAATTAAAAGATAAGGATAGAGTGTGAGACTTGCATGTCTTCAAGTTTATCATTCATCAAGTCTACCTAAAATAAAAGCCTTAAGGGCTATTTATATAGAGTGGGTATATCACAATCTTGCACTCAAAAGTGACACTCTTATGATATAGCCAAGTGCCATAATCTATAAAGAACACATCTCCTACACAAATGACACAAACTTGAATATAAGAAAAATAATACTCATGAAAAGAATCAAGAAAGTGTAAAGTTGCATGCTTCCAACAAAATCACAATCTTGTAAAATCCTCAACAAAGTACACATTTTTATGGTATAACCAAGTGTCATAAGAAGCAACAAAAATTATACTCTCCAATCCAAAGAAAGACACTTCACCATGATAAGAAACAACTCTGGGGTCAAACACAAATTTTAATTCCCAAATATCTACACGCTTTCCAACAACTTCACATGACAACTGAAGAGATATGTCAAGCTCATTATGCATCATCATATAAAGAATATCACAATACTAAAGTTAAGAGTATTTACCGCAATGACCTTAGATAAACACAAGATAAGCATAAGCCATACGTACATACCATTCTTGCTTTTGGGCAAAAGAAAAAGCTCTTGACAAAAAGTATGCCAAAATGTTAGTTCAAGGCCTTTCTACCCTTAGAAACTTTCTCTTGTTGAACCTTCACAAAATAATCAATAAAGTTAAGTTCTTTTTGCTCTAAGTGGTCACTCAAAACACCAAAAGAAATATTTTTACCTTTTCTCATAGAAACATTAGCAAAATCTAACGAGAATGTTCTTTCAAAAGTAGAAATAAGATAAGTAAAGCAATTAATACTAGTGCTAGCATAAAAAATATTACTTTTCTTTTCACACTCAACAAATTCATCACATAAATATGCATAAGAATCATCAAGATCAAATACGAGAAAAGTCAACTCATTGGAATACAAATGTTCTTCTTCTATATTTATGTCATTGTAAGTAACTTGTTCAATCTCCAACAAGGAATCTACACACTCATATTTGGTCATTTCACCATAAAAATTAAATCTTTTTGCCAAAGGAATAAAAATAGAATCAAAAGAATCATCAACACATTCTTCTTGACTCATTTCTTCATAAAGGTCAAAATTTTTTTCCAACAAAGTTAAAAGTAGAGTCAAAAGAATCATCACCTGCATCATCCCGAAAAGGTGATGTATTATAAGACTCAACATCATCACTAGTAAAAGAGTCATTAATGTCACGCCCGTACTTCGGGGAGCGCGACTGACGCTCATTTGAGACAACCCGGCCGAGCAAGCCTGCTAGATTGCCTTCTACCCAAGATCACTTATGAATAAAGAGAAGATATATTTTCGTGAATTAGACAATGAGGAGGTCATGTATATAACACCAATTCACTATCATCAGTTACTTCATTTTAAAGTCTCAAATTACAAATACTTTCATAGTTTAAAGTGGAACAAGTGATTCAAACACAACATAACTAGTTTGACTTTCCCAACACCAATGTACAACCCAGACTATGTCTATGGAGCCTATAATAGATACAAAAGAGTACTATGATAGTGCCGGCAATAAGGCCCCAGCTATACTGCAAAACACAATTACACGAGGAACAAAAGATAAACGACCCCGAAATGAGGTGGGGCTCACCAAGTAAGCTAGGAAGAGAGTGTGCCGCTATCACTGATCAGTGCCGCCTGCTGTGGAACCACCTACAGCCATTAAAGTTGCAGCGCCCCCAGCAAAAGGGACGTTAGTACATATGAAATAGTACTAGTATGTATGACTAAACACCCTCTCAATAGAACGAGTAATAATACAAGAAAGAACAATCATAGAATCAATGGAAGCCTCAAATAACACCAAAACATAAAGTTAGGAGCAAGATAAGTTTTCAAGTAAATTTCCATATTTTAGGTTGGGAGATCTTTAGTACCGATATACCACCGTGTATTTAGCACGGAGTCCGATCACGGCCCGATCACCTAGGTCGTCTCACCCAAAGACATTCAATCGCAATCTCAATCACTATCTCAATCACAATTTCAAGCACAATCACCACCATGTGTGTGGCATGGCGTCCGATCTCGACCCGATCGACTAGGCTGTCTCACCACAATACCGTGTGGATCGACATAACCCTTTTCTAGAAATTATCTCATCCCAATTAAGGGAAATAATTTCATCACATCAATCTCATCCCAAATAAGGGGAATAACCATAATCCATTCCTACACCGACATGTGTAGTTTCGGGGTTAGGTTGTTTCAACCTACCCTTCCTCAGTTACTAATGATACTCCCAAAAATATTTATTAAATAAAGGACTTTCAGCTCATTTCATAATCTTTTACACATATCTTCATTTCATTGGCATTAGTGGCGCCAAATGTAATATTATTTTTGGCACGTTGGTTGTATTAAATATTTCATGCTCTTCAAATATCATAATGGATTATCAACACAAGGCATTTCTATTCAAGACATTAAGTACACATGTGAGCAAATAAGAGTCTTCAGCACATTGAGATTTCTTACACAATTTGGCGTGATAGCTTTCATTTGAAACACGACTAGAAGTCATAATTTTTTAGTACGCAAACTATAATTTGAACACATTCCCGAAGGATAACATAACATGATAAGAGCATTTGGAACACATATTGAACATATATCTTTCAGCACAAAGCTTATTCGGAATAGTCAATTTGTAATGAACAACTCGAGACTTACAAGAACATCGTGGGATTCAATTCTAAGAGAGAAGTTTAGCCAACATTCCTTGATGGAGTTCTTTAGTGATACTAAAACCTCCCACTACTCTTACAACTTCAGTCTACATCAACATAATTCAATTGGACCAATATTAGTAAAAAATTTCAAGTTTTTGGTTATTTTGGCATTTTATCAAACACCTAGAGTGCATAGCATTCAACTACCTCTAGTATTGGTGTTTCTTCATCCAACAATCCCTCCTTCCCACCAAGAAGAGATAATACAACATCCTTTGTCTACTAACTACCTTCTTAGCACCATTATAATCATCAATGAACTCACATCTACCAAATTTTACTAATTAACTCATTACAAAATCTCTACAACACCAATAATCTAGGTTAAACACTTATGGCTTACAATCACCATCTCATAAGTGCTAGCACTTATTCCTTGCTCATATATTCACTAACAATCCGTGCAAGTAGGTTTAAGGGTGAAAAATTACCTCTTGCAGACCAAATCTTGAAAGTCAATTTTGGGGGTGTTCATGAGATTTTGAAGAAATCCTATGGAATCCAATCAAAACCTTGTTGTAACTAGTGATTGAAAAGTGAAATCATCATAAAAACACACTTAAAAACTCAGCTTAAGTGTGTATTGAAAGCCTTGGCCGGATGGGTGATGGAGAGAAAAGCCATAGTCTTGAAATCCTTTTATTTTTCTCTCTCCCCGCTCAGGTATTAATAGGCCCAGGTACAGTATTTTCCACTGGTGATATCCTTATGCTATAAGGCTTTAGCTCACTGGTTTGCTAAAATTTTCAGCTTCCCTCCTGTTCTGTAGTTGCGCTATGGTGAGATAGTTCACTGTATTTTCTTCAGTTTTATTACTTTGGAATTAACATCCAAATGTTCCCCATTATTATAACACTCAATATTAATAAAATAATTATCCTCAATTATCCAAATAACTTTATCCACTCCAGTAATTTCTCATGTAGTCAGTAATTTCTCATGTAGTTCGGGTGTACATTAAATTGTATTCCTAAGCTCGAAATTGCTTGAATTAGCTATAGAAATTCACGGAGCCTTACAATTAAACAAAGAACTAGAATCATCCAATAATGCACAAGAACTCTTAGCTAGTTTTAAGCCACAATTATTGTCCTCATCACAAGATAAAGAAATATCAAACTCATTAATGTCATAGCTATCTTTTAAACTCAAAGTATCACCACAATCAACTAAAGTATCATGAGTAGAAGGAAGTTCTCTTTACCTTGCACTTCCTTATTTAATTCCATAAGTCCTCTTGAAAAGGTAGATTAATTTTCTTCCAATCTCTTCAAAGTGGATTGAACTTCACTTGATGGTTCGTCTCCAAAAGTCTCTACACAAGTTCCAAAACAACTAGAGAAAGAAGAAAGGTTAGTAGCATTAGAAGAAGAAAAATCACCACTCTCTTTTTGTTTTCCCTCTTTCTTTTCTCTCATTTTCTTTTCAAACTCTTCAGTCTTTTCTTGTGACAACTTACTCTTTTCACTGCACACTTCCTCTCCTTTTTCCACTCTAGAGTTGTCACTTTTCTCAACCTCACTTCTCTGTATCTTGTGTTCACTCTTCATCTTTGGCCTCATATCCTTCACTATTTTGTAATCCTCACTCACTTGAAATAGGGTTAAGGGACAAAGAGTAAACTTTTGGCCATCCTTGATAAGGGAATACTTGTTTGTTCTCCGATCATGCTTTGCATACCAATCCTATTGCCAAGGTCGCCCAAAAAGTAGATGCCAAGCTTGCATAGGAACAACATCACACCAAAACTCATCTTCAAATCTCCCAATTTTGAATTTTATGAACACCATTTTAGTGACTCTAAGGTCTCCACACTCATGTAGCCATTGGAGTCTATAAGGTGAAGGATGCTTTTTGGTCGGCAAATCCATTTCAAGCAATAAGGAACTTACTACATTAGCACAATTTCCACTATCAATGACGAGAGAGCAAAGGTTTTCCAAAATCTTGCATCTTCTATGAAAAAGATTCTCCCTTTGATCGTGAGGTTCTCTAGCTATGACTAAAACTTTTCTTGTTAACAATTAAGATCTCAGACCATTATTTTCTTGCTCTTCTGATTCTTCATCACTTGTTTCGTGTTCACTATCTCCATGCTCTTGGTGACTAGCTTTGGTTCTATAGCTTCCATCATCCATGGCAATGATAGTTCTTCTATTCATACAATCTTTCATGTAATGACCAAGTCCTTGACATTTATGGCATCTTACATTGCTAAGGGACTTGTTTTGAACATTGGAAGTCCCTTAGTCTCCACTCTTAGCTTGCTTTTGTCAACTTGAACCTTGAAGTCGTAATTGGAATCTTTGGACTTCTCCCAAATGTTTGTTGATTTCCAAGGCTTATCATTCATGTTCCAAGGAGAAGAACTAGTAGCCTTTGACTTGTAGCTTTTGTTTCCTTGCGCCTTTCTACCTTCAAGGCCATCAAGTAAGCATCTTCCAATCTTTCAAACTTGTGAAGCTCCAAAGCCTCACCAATTTCCTTGTGAAGACCTGCCAAGAATCTAGTAATGACAACTTGGTCATCATCATCAACATCACACCTCAATCTTGTAGTCTCCATCTCTTCATAGTACTCCTCAACACTCTTGTTCCCTTGGTAGGAAGTATGAAGTTTCTTGAGCATGTTGATAGTAATCGGGCACATATCTTACCCTCAAAGCATTCTTCAAATCTCTCCAAGTAGTTATTGGAGGTTCATTGTGTCTAGCCCTTCTCCTCAACTCCTTTTCCCACCATGATGAAGCACTCTCTTCAAATTGAGTAATGGCATACTTCACCTTTTTAGCATCACTTACGTTGTAGATGTCAAAGTGCCTTTCTACTTTGAGTAACCATTCAAGATACTCTCCCGAGTCACTAGTTTCCTTGAAAGGTGGAAGAACTTGTTTGGCAACTTTTAGACCCCTTTCATCATCTTCTAGGAAAAGGTTGGTCCTCTAGCGGGTCACCCTCTTCAAAGTAGTTGATATCCCCATATTGCTCTGGTACAAACGGTGACCATTCCCTCTACCTCTTCCTCTCACTCGACCTCTACCTCTTCCCCTTCCTCTGATGTGGCCTCTTTCCCTTTGGTACTCCATCTCCCCTATACTCTTCATTGAAGAATTGTTGGATGTCGGCCAACTCATTCAAGGTGTCATCTTAATCATGTTGAAAAAGTGGATTGTTCATCAACCGAGGCTCTTGAAGTAGTACGGGTGGTGGAGGAGGGAGATTGTCCCTCCTTGGTGGAACTTGAGGCATATGTTGTGGAGGTAGATTCATTGGTGGTCTAGGTTGGGTCATTTGGGGTGGTGGTATTATGGGTATGTGTGCTTGAAATCTAAATGGTTGTTGGTGTTCTCGTGGGTAGTACACTTAGGGTGGTGGAAGGTAACCTTGGTGGGGTTGTGGTTGTGGCACTTGTTGTGGCGGAGTGTAAACTTGTGTGGAATTTGATCAGGTTGTAGTCGAGGTACTTGTGGTGGGTGATGTGTGGTTGGAGGTTGGAAGTGGGTAGGTGGTCAGTAGTTTGGTGGAGGAAATAAGGTCATTTTGGTGATTGTGGTTGCCTTGGTGAGTTCTGTGGTTATTGGTTAGGTTGGTTGTGTTGAAAATTTTCCCTTTAGTCACAGTAACTGGCAGCACTGCAGGTTGTTGGAAATCTTCTGCGTGAACCAACTGTGCAGAAACCTGAACTGGATATACAACCGATCCTTTCTGAACCTTTAGCTTCAACAAATTTTCCAGGTGTAACTCAACCAAAACCTTATTCAATCAGCAGAAACCAAACTGAAGTAATTTTTCTGTCAAGTAATGCGGAAAGCATAGTTGAGCACAAACTTTCAGAACAGCTAACTCTAATTCCCTCAATCAATTCACAGTCCAAAATAGTTCAAAGTACACCCAGCTGCTGCAGGATCTTGACTGTGCAGAAAGTTGTTCCAAAGTGCAGAACTTCTGGAACTTAAATGAATAAGTTGCTGCAAATTTGCAGCTTAACTGGAGCCTCACCAGTGCCGAAGTTGTTTCGAATACTGCAGATTTTCAGCAGTTCAACAGGGCAGAAACAGTGCAGAAGTTTCACCCCAAGCTGTGCAGATTTTCCTGCTCAAATAGTGCTAAAACAGGGCAGATTTTGGCTGTCAAAAGTTACTGTTCAGCTGAGTTCTTTTCTGTAGAATTTTGCAGTTCACAATCTCAGAAATCTAATGCCAAATCGAGTCTGACTCAGTAGCTATTTACCCCTGCTAAAACCTATATTTTTCTGCTCAACTGTGCAGCTCTTGCTATAAAAAGACACTGCTCAAAACTCAGAAACTTCAGCAACACTTGAGCATTAACTTCAGCAGAAAAATTCTGAACTTAACCCTCAAACAGCAAGCACAAGAAGAAGTTCCAGTTTTCAATTTCAGACAAACCAAGCTTCAACTTCATACTATAATAACAGCAGAGCAAGTCACAGAAATGCAGCTCAATGACCAGAAATTTAGCATCACAAAGGAGTTCAAACCAGAATTCAGCAGATACAAGGATGGTTTAACAACTAAGAAACTCTATCAAGGGCTGAGATTCACAAACGGCAGCAACAAATTGAGAACAAATTTCAGCTCAATACTCAGAAATCAAGCTAAGCACGCTAGTCGAATTCATTCAAATCAATTAACTCAGAACGATCGAGTCGAAGTTCAGCTATAACTCAAACTTTCTTCACAATTTTCAGCACATAAAACTAACTTTCGACTTAGAAGAATCAAACCTGATGCCTTCTGGAATTGGCTAAGTGTCGACGTGCAGGGACGATGCATAGGCTACGCAGCTTCAAACTCAACCCCAGAAACTGAAGTTTTTCTTCGAAGTTCTTCGAGCCTCAACACCAGAAAATCCGATTATCGAACAAACCTTCACCAAAACGAGCTCAAATTTTGGATTCAACTTCCAAACAGCATAAAAATCAAACCCCCAGTGATTGATTTCTAGAAACAATCACGAATTCAGAAGAATCCGGCTCGTCGTCCTCTCTGAAACTGAAATCGAAATTTTCAATCAAAACCCAAGAAATTCAGTGTTAATCGGATTGACCCTTCAGATTCAGCTTCGTGTTGATGTTTCCAACAAGAATCACAAAAATCCAACCGATTTTGAACCCAAATCCTCAACGAAATTTAAATCTGAGCTAACCCGAGAAACTCGAAGTTGCCAATGGAGATACAGTGGTGGAATTCGAACTAGAACCCAAGTAATCAGACAATCTCCAATTGATATTAATCAATTTCAGTAGATTCAATAATTTCGGACTCAAAATATCAAGCACAGATAGACAAATACGATTAAACAGTGAAGAACAAATACAATTTCTATTTTAGAACGTTAATGAACAGATCTTACTATTTTTGGAATTTTTCGATTTATTTTTGATTTGATGATAATCAAAAACAAATACCCAACAAACAATACCAACAACAAACGAAAATAAGGATGTAGCAAAAAATGCGAAATTAAAAATAAGAGCTAACAAGAACCAATTAGGATATGAACTCTAATTAACTCTATAAACTCAATCAACTATAATCCTAGGTTATGAAAATAAGAGCTAGACCTATAATTGATTGGAACAACAAGAATCAATTATGATATGGATAAAGTAATTAAGCAATTAAGCATTCACTACTAATTGATCACCAACTAAGATTAATTTGTCACTAATGAAAGCATAAATAAAGTAATAAAAGAATTAAAGGCATAAACATAAATGCATTAATTAAAAGATAAGGATATAGTATGAGGCTTGCATGTATCCAAGTTTATTATTCATCAAGTCTACCTAAAATAAAAAGCCTTAAGGACTATTTATACTAGAGTGGGTATTTGGCTAAAAATGACTTAAATACTTATAAGCTAATTCTAAGGAGCTAAGTGCAATCAATTATTACAAGTATAGCCTCCAATTACTTGTAGTCTTCATTTGATGGCTAATTACACACATAGCCTCCCAATTGCGATAGTATCCATCAATTAACATCCAAAGCGCATGTTAGCTATCCTGGGCCATACCAATTGGGGGAACGTGGAGTCACTAGTGAGTATGTATATGGTGAGTTTATATAGTGATCTGATGGCTTTGGAAAGACTCATGGCACGTTCGAAGACGAACGTTTGTTTAAGAGGGGGAGAATGTAACGATCTGACCGGTCGTTTTAAGTATTGACATTTTGTTCAGTGGTTCGAGATCTTGAGTGGCTTTACATTGTGTATTATGACTTGCATGTATTGTCAGATTCGATTTTCGGATGTTTCAGGATTGATTTGGTTGAATGATTCTCATTTTAGGAGCTAAGTTGGAAATGTTGACCGATATTTGACTTTTAGATTTCTTATGTACATTAAATTGAGGTTGCCCTATCATGTTGTAGCCTCCGTTGCTAAATTTACCCTCACATGCTTTATTTGGAGTCGTTGGTTCATGTTTTATCTTTTATTGTCAAATATACTCTTATAGGCTTCAATTGTATTTGTTGCCTGTTTTATTGTCATGTTATCTCTTTCATAGTTGAGTTATTCTTATTTGAAGTCATTGTTACATATTATATCTTCCATTGTTCATTTATTCTTATTCGAAGTCATTGTTACATGTTATCTCTTCCATTGTTGATTTATTCTTATTCGAAGTCATTGTTACATATTTTCTCTTTCATTGTTGAGTTATTCTTATTTGAAGTCGTTATTACTTGTTATGTCTTTTGATGATAGGCTATAATTATGTATTTTAGTCGCTTATTACACTCTAATTTACTACACTTTAATTGAGTTTGAGCTTTAATCGCTAGTGTCTTGCGCTAACTGTATATTTTATGCCTTGTAGGAGTGATTCCGAGCTATGTAGATGTTATGGAATGAATTCAAGTGATTTGGAGCTTTGAAGTCTGAGTAAAAGCTCAAGGAATTAAGCCGGGATCGTGTTTGGGGGTCAACGGATGATAGTTAGAGCGAACAAAGAATCGAGTAGGCATATTGCGCACTGTCTAGTAAAATGGATATACCTTTTTGCTAAGAACTCCATTTGGGCTCCAAAATATATGGTTGGAAAGCTAACTCAAAGGGCTACAACTTTCATGTTTTACGTTTTTCCAAATTCCAAAGGGAACAGGGTCAAAAACGCGATTGAAACTGTGACTGCGGACCTAACGCGGACGGAGAGAATATAACCCAACTAGTGCGGCCTTAGCGCGGCCGCGCTAGTCCAGACAGAAAAACAGATCTGAAGGGTACTTTTGAAAGTTCAAGACCAATCCCCTCAACCTATAAAAGGTTTAATTCATCCAAAGGAGCATGGGATAAGTTTTTAGGGTTTAGAACAAGGAAAAAAACAAGAGGCAAGGAGGCAGAGACACAATAGGAGCAAGGCGGGGAATTCTTCTACGAGTTTTTCTTTCCTCTTCCTATTTTTCATTGTTGGTTATGACTTTTAGTATTGTAGTTTTACATACTATTATGAATATCTAATTTGTTATCTAGGGTTTTGATGGAACCTTTTGTAGGATAAATTCTTGTTGTGTTTTTATATAATTGAGCCATTGGATTTCTTTACTTGTTCAACTACGTGTTTATTGTTGTTGATTGAATAGCCATCAATTGACTGTGCCTATTTAGTGTGTAGTGCACGAGAGAGAGTACATATTTAGGTAGTTGTTGAACAATGTCACTCCTAACGTATGTGAGAAATTAATATATTGGGTTTAAAGGTAGGTTTAGAAATAGCAAAGCCTTGACGTGGTCATAATGAGCGGGTAGATAAAGCTAACTAGCGTAGTTCAAGAGAATATGTCTAGTAAATTGTTGTAGTTGCTCGAGAGAGAATTACGGCACCTAAAGTGCTCACGATCAGTAGAGAATACATTAGCGAAATTGTAGGGAACATAGCTAGAAGGATTCCGACAATTGGGGAAATCATAACTCTAGACCTGCTTAATTTAGTCTCCAACCCTTTGTTTCGTTAGTTGATAATTTTACTGCTTTGTAGTATTTGCTAGTTAATTAGTTAGAAATATAAATCGCAATCTTTATAATTTAGAAAATTGTTCAATCTTGTCTTCTTGGTGATATTAAACAGATACAGCTAAGCCTTAGTTCTCTGTGGGTTTCGACTCCAGACTTTTAGACCGGATTATATTTGCAGCGACCGCTGATCCTTTTTAGGACTAGAGTTGGGCGTGATCAAATTTTGGCGCCGTTGCCGGGGAACTAACTGTGTAGTTGTAGCTGTATATATTGCTAGAGTTCAAGTTTGAACTATTATTTTATTTTGTTTTTTCTTGTTATTTTTTTATAACTGTTGATTTGAGAAACATGACATCTTGGAATTATGGGAATTTAGGTGTAGATAATTCTACTATTGATCTCCATACATATTGTAAAGGAAACCACCCGTGGCAAAATTTTCAAAACGTTCCTGAGAGCGAGTTATGTGCACCAACTCAATCTTATTTGTGAAATGTGTGTGATGTGTGTGGTGGTAAAAATGGTCACCTTCATGGTTGTGCTTATATTTCTTATTTTCCCCCAACCCCTTACTATGATGGTTCTACCTTTTCATGTGAAGTTAATAGGAACAAAGAACCTGGGAATGCGGACCTGAAGGAGATCAAGGATATGCTAAAGTGTCTTCTGGAACAAAACAATGAGAAACAATTGCACATAGAAAGGCAAGAGGCAACTATTCGCAAGTTGGAGGCTCAATTGAGTCAAGTGGTTGGAGCTTTTAATGCTCAATAAGCCAATATTGAGGATATCAGCCAAGAAGAGCATGAGTTTGAGGTGTTAATTGGGGAGGTCAGAGTAGAACATCAACAACCTAGCCAACTACAATTTGGGGATGTCAATGTTGAAGAAGTGAGACTAGAGCCAACCAAGGACTTTGAGGATATAAATTTTGTTGACTCTAGTATCATTGATGTTGAGGATGTTGAAAGTCCTGAAGTTCATGTGTTTGAGCGCATTGGTCCACACTCCAAGCATTTTTCCACATTATGTTTGGATGATGATATGGAAATAGAGTCATCTGAACCAACCGAAGAGTCAACGAATGAGGAACAAGGTGCATATATTCTGGAATTCTTCTTGCCAGAAAGTCAGGATTACATACCTCATACAAAGGCCAAGGAGTGCAGAATACTACATTATTTCCTTGGGCCAATTAGATTCGTTCCACCGCCATATGACCATAATCATAAGCTTGAATCAAAACTTGGGGTTCAATTCATAAGCTCGAGGTGGAGGCAAAAAGTGATTCGCGTCGTGCCGCGACATTAAATCAAGCGCTTGTTGGGAGGCAACCCAGCTTTATTGCTTTCTTTTATTTATTTATTATTTTTTTTAATTGTATTATTTTTGTAGTGTCAATTTTTTTATTTTTTAGGAGCATGGAAAGCAAAGGTATTGGAAGGATGCAACAACAAATCAAATAATTGGAACTAAGTGTGAGGTACCCGCACGAAGGACCAAGCCTGGGAGAAGTCTGAGTACCCCATGAACTGCTAGTGCTTCGGCCTTTGGCCTACCAGGGAGTTTCTCTTACCCTCTTATGGTTATGCTGTGCATTGGGGACAATGCACAATTTTAAGTGTGGGGTGATGAGATTGTCTGGGTGATTTTTCATGCTACTTTAGCTGTATTAGTTTAATTAAATAGTTTTTTTTAAAAGATTGGACTTTTCCCGACGATGGATCTATTAGACAATTTTCTTGAGGGATTTAAGTCTAAAAAAAAAGATTTTTTTTTTGAATCTTTTTTTTGTTAGGTAGTGTAGCAATTCCCCCTTGGTTTTTCTTTAAACCACGGTTCTTTTCCAAGGGTTTTATTTGAACCGGGTGTAGTTAGTTTTTTTTAGGAATAGGAGCCATTGTGTTATGTATTAAATTGAAGCAATATATCTTGACTTTGTTATGCCTTGAGAATAGTGAGTATTTTGGTTGTGACGCTTAGGCTCAGTTTTTGACTCTTGTATAAGTACCTTAAATTGTATGATTTTAAATTTGCTTAACTACTTTGACTAGAGTGTCTTGATGAATCCAATCCTGAGTGAGTTATGTGCCATGTGTGTGTGAGGTTTGGGTGTTATTCTGTGCATTGCATTTGATGCCTAGAACTTGCGCTGTGTGTTTGCAAAGCGAAATAGTAGTTTTGTTCAGTCTAGGAAGTGATATAGGCATTTCTTTGTTGATCCAGATAAGTATATTTTACCCGCCTAATTGTTATGTATCGTAGTTAACCCATTTGAGCCTCTAATCCTATTTCTTTGGCAACCACACTACAAGTCTTACCCAATTGTTCGAATGGACTATCTATTTGAACCTTTTAACCTCTCATAAGCACTTGAATTGTGATGATTTATGTAAAAGTTAAAGTGTGGGGTGGTTGGTTTGGCTTTTGAGTGGAACTAATGAAATCAGGAGAAAGGTGCGCTGTTTTGAACAAGTAAGAGCCACTTGAATTGAAAAAAAAAATAT